AATTCAATGGAAGAAGTACAAATCAAATCAATTAGGCCAATTAAGATCAGAAGCCTGCAATTGCTGACAACCTATGCGGCCCTGCCTGGTTAACCAATGGTTACACGCCAGACGAAAGGCTTCAGACCCTAACAACTCAGATCGGTGTCTAGTTTGTGCGGAGAACACGGTAGAGGACATAGTGCACTGCTTGCTGCACTGTAGGGAGGCAACAGATTACTGGGCGAGAGCCTCGGCCCTCTGAGATTCCCTTTTCCCGACACCCTTTCCCCGAACAACCCATCCAACTTCTCCGTCTAACTAACATCCCTAACTAAGCAGCTCCGGAAAATGGAAAAGATTTGGTTCGGTCTCTCATCAGGAAGGTGACCCTACGGGTCATATGGAAGGAAAGATGCAGCAGAACGATCGAAAGAGTGTCCAACCCACGAGAGATGGTCTGGGTGGAGACGAAAACTTTGATACAAACTGAAATCCTCTGCAGATGGAGGAAAATCCATCTGCAGAGGATTTGGTCTGGGCGGAGACGAAAACTTTGATACAAGCTGAAATCCTCTGCAGACGGAGGAAAATCAAACTAGCATGGTCGGAGGATGAGAAAAAACAAAAGATGGCGAGACTGAGATTCAGCAAGGTGTGGTTGATAAGAGCGGGAAAGTTGGTGAGTTACAAGACGACCGCATCTGCTGGAAGGACTGGCACAAGTCAAATTCAGGAAGAAGCGTTCGGCTGCAATAATGCGATACATGGGCAAGGCACCTCCCGATCAGGTTCCTAAAGAGAAAGCTACGAACTTATACTACCACATCTACGGAAGAACAGACTGGAGACGACTGTACGACACTGAAAAAGGGGAGCGAGGAAGGGAAGGTTGACCAAAGGGATGTTGGAAGTAAGGGTGCAAGGGGAACACAGGTTCCCAAATCACTCAAAGAGAACAGATTCCTAACTTCCAGCCCAGAAAGGGACAGTAAGGTCCACAGGTTGAGGGTTTAGGGTCAACAAGGGTTTTAGTAGCGTTTAGAAGAAAGGGGCAGGCTTAACGGGATAGGGGATACCACGATTCACAGGCAGGACAGTTGAGCGGGGAATACACAAGTATACAGAAATGATGGGCGAGCTCTTTCTAGGAGACACAGGATTATTTGGCAGAACTGATTTTCAGGTCTGAGAGGGAAGAGTGAGACACGGCAAGCTGACAGTCAATCCTCCTCCTAACGGTGGAGCAATCAATGCTGTTCAGGGGTCCTTCGGCCATACGGAAGGAAGCGTGCGTTTCTGCTGCAATGTAATGTGTATTCTGACTTGCCGGTGGAATAGGAACCGGACTGACGCTCCCCAGAATAGAAGGAGCCAGGACCATAAGGCCCTGTTTAAAATAAGATAAAATAAAAAATAAAAATAAAAAAGAAGAAGAAGAAGAAGACAAAAAAACAGACATAAGCAAACGTATACGCAAAGAAAAAAAAAAAAAAAAAAAAAAAAAAAAAAAAAAAAAAAAAAANAAAAAAAAAAAAAAAAAAAAAAAAAAAAAAAAAAAAAAAAAAAAAAAAAAAAAAAAAAAAAAAAAAAAAAAAAAAAAAAAAAAAAAAAAAGGAAGCAGTAGAAGAAATAAAAACAGACATAACCAAACGTGTAACAGGGTGTCAGAGAATTCTGCGTCCCGAAAAATGAAAAAAGAACATAACCCAAAGAGAAAAACTCTGAAAACTGCAAACAATAGCAAACAATCGTTCTCCGTCAAGGTGCATATTTGTTGCACGTTCTCTGTGTCTGAGGACTCTTATAGCCGAACCCAGGTAATGGCCTCGGGGCAGTCGTCGAAACGACTATACAATGGGACGCTGGACCCGGTTTCCAGCAGGGGGCCGCTCCCCACCAATAGAACAGAGCACACAGGGATGGGGCATTGGGCCCACTGGAAGGAGATGCTCATATCACTTCCTCTAGCAGGCCCCCTCCGGATATCGTCGGGGAGGGAGAGGGGGGGGGGGGGAACAAAAGAAAACGTTCTCCGTCAACATTCTCCACCAACCCCTTTCCAGAGGGAAAAGAGTTTGAAGCACGTAAGGTCGTTGTTCTGGTCGAACCTCATGCACGTCCGTTCCTTGTATACGCGGTTCTGTTCAAACCCCCGTAAGGGAAAGAGTTGGAACCACATAGCAATATGAGTTCGAACCACATACCAAAGGTTGCTGTTCTGGTCGAACCTCATGCACGCCATTTCCTTGTATACGAGGTTCTGATCAAACCCCAGCTGGGGTAAGAGTTTGTCCAACACTCACGCTTCCACGGCGCAATTCTACAGACGCTTCACGTCTGAATCCCACGAAGGCGCGAATTTGACTGTCTTTGCGGATACCGCTAAATACATCAAAAGACTTAAAACCCAAGGAATGACGATCCTACTATAGGAATTGCTTCCGGTACACCAGTTACAACTTTTACTGCCAAAAAAAAACAAAAACAAAAAAAAAAAACAAAAAAAAAAAACAAACAAACAAACAAACAATTTTTATTGCCCAATAACCAATTTGATCCCAAGGTAAAGAATATCCTGTACCTCCTGAACCACCAAACCACATAGAAATATCAGTCCGAACCACGTACCAAAGGTCGCTGTTCAGGTCCAACCTCATGCCCGCCCATTCCTTGTACATGAGGTTCTCATCAAACCCCAGTACGGGAAAGAGTCTGAACCTCATAATGTTGCCCCCTTACAGGGGTTTGATCAGAACATCATTTACTGGGTTTAATCAGAACCTCATATAGAGGGCTTTGCCCTAGCGGGGTTCAAACTGAACCCCAAAGAGCTTGAACCCCATAATGTTGCCCCCTTCAACCAAGCCCTCTCCTTGTATCAGCTTCTGATTGAACCCCGCTACCATGTTCACCCGAATAGAACGTACGGTCATTATACCTGTGTGTATTTAGACTGAAAGATGCACCAAATTCAGCTATAATGACCGTACGTTGTATTCAGGGGAAGACTGTAGGGCAAAGAGGTCAACCCTCACACAGCAACAGCTGTGGTTCTCTGATCGAACCTCAACCAATCCCTTTCCTTATTTGGGGTTCGGATCAAGAGCCTCAACAACACCCATCCCCACCTTACGTTCGACGGGTTTCAATTCGAACAGCACCACATCCCACACCATCTCCCCGCGCTTCTTCCTGCCATCGACCCCCCAGTTAATTGGCAATTAACCCTCTCAATCCACCCCGCAGTCAACACCCGGATTACTGCACTGTCATTCCCTCCTCATGAGAGGATGGAAACCAGATTTTTTTTTTTCTACAGCTAACCCACCAGGAACGCATCAGCTTCATGTCATTCCCTCGTCGCGGGATTGACAGAACTTGGGCCAGAGGGTGGGATGACATGAGACAGTCAGTCTTAAAAAAGGATGGAATTAGTTTAAAAAGACCAGCCGACCCCAATCAATCACAAATCAATCAATCAATCAATCAATCAATCAATCAATTAACCAATCAATCAATCAATAAAGCAATAAAGCAATCAATCAATCAATCGATCAATCACAATCCAACAATCAGAACAATCAGATTAATCAATCAATCAATCAGATCAATCAATCAACCAATCACAATCAAGCAATCAATCAGATCAATCAATCAATTTCAATCGATCAATCGATCAATCAATCAATCAATCAATCAAACAATTCAATCGATCAGTCTATCAACCAACCAACCAACCAACAGAACAGTCGGTTTGCCAAGTAACCGATCAATCATTAAAAATGCGTTCACTCTAACACTCAATTCCATCAGTACTTCAATCAATTGATTCTACCAATCAGCAACGCACTCATTGAGCAAATTGATCGATCAGAATGACATGCACAGCCCCCACAGAAAGCAAAAGCAATTATCAATGACAATCAAGCAAGCCTGTAAAGGCGTACATTGACAATTCCTTGAATTTTCATTCATTAATTCCTTCATCGACTCGTTTGTTTACTCTTGCAGTCGTTCATTCATTCATTCGTTCATTCATTCATTCATTCATTCATTCATTCACTAAAGCTTGGCGAAAGAAAAAGATCTAGTTCCCATCTCCCTCCTCCCCGTTTCCTCCCATTCTCCATCGTGCCATACACCGTCTTCCAGCAATGTGCAATCCAACACATTCCCGGTCGGTCCTCCTCTATACTTTGGTGCCTTCATGCAAAATCAGACATCACCACCAGTGCAAGAGCATTGTGTCCACAAATGTCACTCGAGCGAACTATACGAAAGAGAAGCATGGGTGGAAAGAGGAGAATGGGTTCGATAACAGTCACATCACGGGAATGATAACCGATGGACGGGTTAATTGGTTGATTGGTAAGTTGATGGGGTTGATTGGTTCATTGATTGGTTCATTGATTCATTCATTGATTGATTCCTTCATTGATTCATTGATTGATTCATTGGTTGATTGGTAGATTGGTTAATTGGTTGGGTGGTTGATGCCTTTGATTGCTGGATTGGAAAAAGAAAGACAGGAAAACAAATCCTCATTGATTGATTGATTGATTTACTGAGCGAATGATTGACCGATTGACTGATTGATTGACTGATTGGTCGACTGATTGATTGACTGTTTGATTGATTGATTGATTGATTGATTGATTGATTGATTGAGAGGCTGGGTCTGCCCCACTCACCTTTGTATAGTGCGCACTCTCTCTCTCAGAGAATGCCTATCAATCAATCAACCAGCTAGCTAACTGATGGACTGACTGACTGGTCCATTGGTCCATTGATTGATTGATTGATTGGTCCATTGATTGATTGATTTGATTAATTCTTTGGTAAATGGATGCGCCCATGAACGACTGGTTCGCTAGTTATAACCCATTCGATGAAACGAATGATTTTTTTTTTAACCAGACTCGTCAGCCAGTCAACAAATTGTAAGCACGAAACTTGGAAAAAAAAAAAAAAAAAAAAAACATAAAAAAAAAGAGGAATAAGAAGACAACATCGACCACCTTCGCATGCTTTATGCTGTCGGGAACAAATTGAAGTAAAAAAAAACAACGAAAAAGAGCTCTCACAGCTAAGAGAGCAAAAACAACCCAAAAAAAACGCAAAGAAGAAGACAGAAAAAAACTGCAATCCTCCCCCCCCTCCCCGCTCATTCCCCCTTGTGGTCAACAAATTGTGAGGACGTCAACTGCTCCATCACCTGCTCCACATACATCCACCCATCCAAACAACATGAATGCGGGACTGGGACTGGGACTGGGACTGTGTCAAGCCATCCGAGGTCTGTGTCCCAATTACATCGGCCCATCAATGAATGAAACCCCCTCAAACCCCGATCTTCTCCTCTCCTCTCCTCTCCTCTCCTATATAGAGATATATATAGACAGATGAGTATGACGATTACAGCAAGCAAAATCTTGCGAGACCCTAAAACACAACGCCTCCTCAGCGGCGCAGCTCTCCTAGACCTAATCCCGCGTGCCTCTATTCGATACAGGGTTTATTCTCGCGGTAGCTCCATGGCTGACAGGCTTGGCTATGACTCTGACCATGGGCATGCCATCGCTATCATCATTCCCACCTCTCCCAATTCTCCATGACCTGTCCTTTTTCCGACTGGGCTTTTTGTGCATCTTGTGCGCCGCTTTCATCGGTTTTTCCCGCGGTTTTTGTCCGCTTTTCCCGCCAACGCTTCCCGCCACCGCGACTCCCAAGCACGCTGCCAAATCATCATCCACGGTCGCTATCCCGACCCGGCCAACTCGATTCCCATCTCCCCTCCGCAGAATACCCTCTGCTCCCTCTGCTTTGCCTTTCCCCGCCTCCTCTTCTTTCCCCCTCTCCTCCTCCTCTTCCTCCTCTTCCTCCTCTTCCTCCTCCTCCTCCTCCTCATCATCATCATCATCATCATCATCATCATCGAGACTCTGGTCTTCTTCCAACCTCTTATCAGTTCTATCGACTCCTCTCCTGCACTTCCTAATCAGGTACTTCCTAAATTGGTCATCGCGATCCCGATCTCGGTCACCCGGCGGCATGTGACAGTAGAGCAGTTTCCCAGATAAGTAATCCTTCATGATCTGCCTGGCTGCCCTGGTTTCGTCGGGCAATCCGCTTGATGACGTGTAATTTCTTGACCTAGCATACGCCCTGAGCAGCTCAGCGCCCGTTGGCGCTCTGTTTTGGGGTTCGTGCGGAAGCGGAGGGGTTAAGACAAGTCCATAGGTGGCTTCAAGGACAGGTTTGGGGATCTGGCCCGCCACAACTCCCGCCGGTCCTCTGTGGTCGGTGATCCTGTCGATGGGCAGCACACCCGCAGCCACCATATCCGACCTTGAGCTCGTGAACGATGGAAAGACGAGTCCTGGGCAATCACATAAGACAAGCCGATCGCTCAAAATTAGGGTTTGAAAATGCTTCGTCTTGCCCGGCGTCGCTGTGACCCCTGTTCGCTTCTTCCCTACCAACGCATTTATCGTTGAGCTCTTCCCTACATTCGGATAGCCCACAAAACCGACCACAACTCTCCGCCGCCTCTTTTGCCCATTCTTGAGAGAAGGAGAAGGACAAGACCCCTCCCCCCCAGCAGAGCGCCGTTCTTCCTCTTCGTCATCCTTGTGTTGTTCACCCTCTTCTTCTTCTTCCTCTTCTTCTCCTTCTTCTTCTTCTTCTTCTCCTTCTTCGTCGTCGTCATTGCCGTCCTCTTCGTCTTCGTCGTTCTTGTTGCCGTCAACATCATCCCCACCACCATAGCCACCGAGCTTGGTCTTCGTCTTCGTCTTTGAACCTCTCGCTCTCCTCCTCCGTGCTCTCATCGTCTCTTCGCCAATCCTCGTTAATCTTTCCAGCAGTTCCTCTCTCCCCAGCAGTCTTATAGATTCATCGTCTACATCATCATTCTCGTCGTCATCAGCATCATCATCGGCATCTTCCCCTCCCTCTCTCTTCATCTTCATCATCAACCCTAATCTTTGACGATCCACTGTTTCCAAATCCACAGACCCCCCTGCTGCCATCGCAGTCGCATCCTTCGCCGACCACCAAAGATAAGTCAATCCCTGAGAATCGAGGTACCGCGCCCACCTCCTCCTCACAAACGACGGCAGCAGATCCGCCTTGTTCAGCAGCAGGACCGTTCGCTTGTGCCTATTGTTGATTTCCCGCGCGTACTGCTCCAGATCTTTGCACCTGTAGAAGAGAGGATTCCTCCCATCTACCACCGTCACTATGACATCGCTCCTCTCAAGGACCCGCCATAACTGCCTCCAGATGTCCAGATTCTTCTCGAATGGAGTGATCACTAAACTCTCGTTCTCCTCTAGGCTCGCGAGTCCTCTGCGCCATTCAAGAAAGCTTTGCCTTTCGAGGGCATCCAGCTCGTCCGCCGTCATGTTCCTATTCCACTTCGGTCTCCTTGGGATCCTCAGTTCGTCTTCATGGAGGGCTTCTTCGGCTTTGCGCTGGGCCTTCCTCTCCTCTTCGCTCAGCAAACTCGAAGCCGTGTCCATCTGGTTTCGCAGAATAACGACGGTGTCTCTTTCTGCTGCAAACTCACGTCCAGCCAGGTCCGCCATAGCCAGCATCTCGTCGAGATCGTTCCTTTCCAACACTGATTGCAGGACACTTGTTGATCGCAACGACGAGTCTATGTCAGTTGTGTGCACATGGCCTTGCGATCCTCCTCCTCCTCCTGCCCCTCCTCTTCCTCCTCCTCCTCCTTTTGCCGAAGACCTGTGACGTAGTAGCGCTTGCCCTAGGCTGCTCCCACCCTTCTTCTTCGGCGCCATCGCTGCCTGCCTGCCTTCTCCTCTCAAGGTGGACTCCACCCAGACTCCCCCGACGCCTTCACACCCACTGTCACTCGACTAGAACCGCCAGACAGCCGGCATCAATCAACTCCGCAAGAACAAAACGAAGGAGGAGGAGGAGGAGGAGAAGAAAGAGCAGGAGGAGGAGGCGAAGGAAATCACAGATCAATCCACTCCAGAAGAACTAGACGGAGGAGGAGGAGGAGGAGGAGGAGGAGGAGCAGAAGGAGATCACAGATCAATCAACTCCGGAAGAACTAGACGGAGGAGGAGGAGCAGAAGGAGATCACAGATCAGGAGAGGGAAAAGCAGGAGGAGGAGATCACAGATCAATCAACTCCAGAAGAGCTAGACGAAGGAGGAGGAGGAGGAGGAGGAGGAGGAGGAGGAGGAGGAGGAGGAGGAGGTGGAGAAGGAGATCACAGATCAATCAACTCCGCAAGAACTAGACGAACGAGGAGGAAGACGAGGAGATTGAAAAGCAGGAGGACGAGGAGGAGGAGGAGATCAGAGACACGGAGGCGAACGACCGATATCGGAAAAGAAACAGAAAAGATGCAAACAAGAGGGGAACGCGATGATCGAGTACAAGATAAGTGTTTGATGATCCCTACAATGGTAGTGCTCGTGCTCACGTAACAAGGCAAGAAACCCTATGCGCATGCCACTTAACAAAACCTGGACAATGCTGACGATGATGCCGGTGATGCTGGTGATGCTGGTGATGACGACAAAGACGATCACCATGCAGACTACACCGACTAGCTAACGCTCTGACGATGAGCAACGTGGCAACATATGAAGCCCGTCCACCGGTGACCACTCGTTCCATGCCCGCCCCCCACTCACCTCCCCCCTCTCTCCTCCCCCTCCCCCCTCCACGTGTACCCGCTTCCCTGGGCGCCACGTGGGAACTGTCGCAATCACGCGATTCACGAAAATGTCGCACTCAGAAAAGAAGGAAAAAAAAAAGGTTTCTCACCCTGTAAACTTCGTCAGAATTGTCACTGCCACCAAACCTCCACGTGGCTGCCGCCGCAGGCAAAAAGGACAGCGCCACGCGTGGCTGCTGCAGCAGGACTACGCATGCTTTTGCTCAGGTCAGAAAGGCTACTAATACTCGTCTTCCCCCCGAACATAACGCACCCTGAAAATGAACGTATATAGGGTATGTTTCCGACCCGATACAGTCAAAATGAGGCTGCGTTGTGTTCGGCGGAAGAAGGGTAGGTAGCTTAATTGGTGCGCCTCCGCCCGCAAAAAACATGGAAATTTTGCAAACAAAGAGCCTCGCCATACCACTCTTAAAACGATGAAAAGTTTCAAGAGCTCTCAGAAATTTTCAAGAGGTGTACTTTCAAGCGTTTTTCAGAGCACTCCTGAATGAGTGACTCCTACCCAGCAGCCTAGCTCAGGGCGTACTCACACTAACAGTATCTCCAATGTATCTGACCGTGTTTACAGCCAAACCTGGATGTATCAGGCCACAATTCCGTGCAGAAATACGTAAGAAGGTCGTAGTGTGAGTATGGGCTCAGTTGGTAAGGCACGCAAGTGGCATTCACGCGGTCTTGGGTTCAATCCCCAATGGCCTCATGTACCTTCCTGGGCAAGCTTGGCGCCCCCCACCTAGAGATAATATGGCGTTGGTCCCCCCAGTGGCATTGAGCAGAAACTTATGAGCTGATGCTCATATGGGAAGGGGACCGGACAGGACGCACAGTGATTGGCCCAATGAGGAAGCTCGGTCCTGATGCTACCGGCTGACCCCTGGCAGTTATGGCCTGGTGGGTGCAGCTCCCGCATGTTCGCAGCCCGTCAGGGTTGCACTTTCCCCCCCTGAGAAATTTCAATGTCAATCAAATTTCAACGTCTGTGGTCGTCGGGAGGGTGGGCATTTTGAGGTTTTGGGGCCTCGCAAGGGCCACGTAGGACCGGTAGCTGCCCGTAGGAGGCCGAGGAGGCCGCGGTCCTTGAGCCTTTTTCGAAATTGAGCCGGTGTGGGTGCACTTTTCTCGAAATAGCAGAGTACCTCGTACACGTTGTATTCGAATACGTGTACCCTTTCTATTCGGATTTCGAAAAGAAAAAACTTTTGTATTCCAATACAATTACTGCTTTTTTTCTGGAGGTCAGCGCCTGCCCTTGTGCTCCCCACCACTGACATGCTGCATGTTGCAGNNNCACACACAAAAAAAAAAAAGAGAAACCGCCAAAATGATATGCCTCCAATGGCTAGTCCTACATACATTGTCAAGGAAAACATAGAAACAGAGCGGCTTCGGTCTAGCGGTTACGCTATGGGGGCGTTCTGACATTTAAAAAAAAAAAAAAAAACAAAAAAAAAACGGTTATTTAAACTTGTTTTCATCGTCGGGTTTATGTATCCCCGGTCCGACGAGAAAAAGGCCTGAAAGGCTGTCCTGTCCAGATTCGACAGGTAATTGAATTTGTTGGGCTTAAAGAATTAGCCTTTCAAATCAACGAAAAAAAAAAAAGTTCGTCTGTCACATCTCCTCTTTCCACCTCCCTTTTTCTCTTTCTCCGAGGCACTCCCTATACCCGTCAATGCTTAAAAAAAAGAGGAAGAAGAAAAGAAAAAAAAAGACTACTTCGTTATACAAAAGAAGCCATGAGTTAAAACTTAAAACAAAAAAAAGGGAGGAAGGAGAGAGAGAGAGAGAGAGAGAGAGAGAGAGAGAGAGAGAGAGAGAGAGAGAGAGAGAGGTGAGGGAGCAAAAGGAAAAAAACAGGAAAAGAACAAAACGCCGACCAAGTTAGTAACCCAGGAAAGAAAAAGAGAGTGAAAAAAGTTCAAAAAACGCGTCGAGTTTGTTTTTTTTAACCAGAAAAAAAAAGAAAAAAGAAGAGAGAATATCCCTTCCTATCCATTGCCAAATGATCTGTTGTTCCGTAATCCAACACTACAGGACAAAAAAAAAAAAAGGCAAGTGACTTTTTTGCAAGCGCGCCTCTCAAGTCCGAGGCCTCTTCGCTGCCAGCCCTGTCTACCTCGACCGTCCTCCGCAAACTCCTGGCTCTCGACATCCTCCTTCGCAAATTGCGTGCTCTCATAACTTTGTTAAATTTCGAGTCAATCTTGATGTATATATATCGTCACAAACAGAACTGCCCGGTAAACCGTAGGCAGAGAGAGAGAAGATATATATATATATTGTCACAAGAATATCAGAGCGCAAAAACAAATAAAAGGAAAAAGAAAAAAAAAACAAGTAAAAAACGAATTCGTTTTTTTTATCTTCTTCTTTACAACTCCCCCTATTCAGAACCTCTTCCGTACAAGGCTTCCCACGTGGATGTAGGTTGCGCGCCGGCTGCCCCCACCCCCGTGTGTCATATCGACCCCCACTTGCACACAGCCAAACGGCAAAGAAGCAAGAAAAAGGAAGGGAACAGCCAAATATAACAAAACAGGGGAAAACAAACAAACTTAAACACATCCTACTAGATGACAAGTCCCATATGCAATCACCTCCCCCCCCCCCCCCCCCCCCCCCCCCCCCCCCCCCACTTTTGTCACAGGTCAAACAACTGGACAAGACCAACCACGATATCAATCAACACCCTTCTTGCCTGCTTGTTTGCCTGCAAACAAGCAAGAAATCCCAGATAACAAACCATTCCTACTCACCAGCGACTCTGAGCACAGGACACTTGCTTCACCTCAGGAACGAGAGCACGAACACGATCCGACTGTCACTGGTCTCTTCGACTCTTCGCCAACTGCGCCAGTCCTTTGCAATTGTTATTTGATGACGCCACCAAGGCATCCTTTCCAGCTTTCTGCTGCTTTTCGCTGTTCTAAACTTGAATCCTGGGACGCCACCAACGGCCGAAAAAAAAAAAAAAAAAAAAAAAAAAAAAAAAGACACTCCCAGATGACAATTCCCACAGAAAAAGCACCGTCTCATCCGCACCAAGGCCGAACAACGGGAAACAGCCAACTAGGATGCTAAACGGATTAAGTCCCCCCGGATGACAGGTCCCACATGAAATCACCGCCACGGACACCCTACCGTTTGACAAACTCAATGTTGATATATTTACATATGATCGATGATCAGAAATGAGAAACAGTGTGGGCGACCGGACATGGAACGGTGCGCCAACTCGCCGGTGAGGACTTCGGCGGGATTAGAAAGCCACAAGAGAGGACAACACCTGCATCAGATTTTACAAAAAAGAGAGAGAGAGAGAGAGAGAGAGAGAGAGAGAGAGTGAGGGAGATGGGAGGATACTTGTAGAAAGAGAAAGGGGAAAGTTTAGGATCGACAAGGGAAGAAAGAAGATGGTTGCTGCTGCGAACGAGAGCTGTCTCTTATACACATCTAGATGTGTATAAGAGACAGCTCTCTCTCTCTCTCTCTCTCTCTCTCTCTCTCTCTCTCTCACTTCTAAAACACTGGTGATCAATCGACAATTACATCATACAACTTCACATTGACGCAGTGACACAATCGCGGACTTTTCGCCGAAAGTTCAAAAAAGTTCACTGAATCACTACTTCGCACTCTTCCTCACACCGAAGCTAACTAATCTGCAACCGTTTGGTAAGTCCGAATCTGTCACGTGGCAGAGCAATACACACATAAAAAAAGTACTGAGAAGAAACATGTCACCACTTCAAATCATGATCCACCGAAAAGATAACTGACAACAGAAAAACAACTAAATCTTGATGCACTGATGTTGTAAGGGGTATCCACCCTATGTAAAAGGGAGACGATAGGAGAAACTCTCTAGACATTACAACCTTAGTGACTAATCACGTCAGCACCAATACCGACAGCGCTCTCTCTCATTGATCACACTGCTTTCTCTGATTTGTCATACTTCACTCCCTCAATTGTCACACTGCTCTCTCTCAGTTGTCACACACCTCCACACAACGACGCCGTGATGTTGCTAGTACTGCTCTTCCTCATTTGTCACATAGCTCCACACAATGATAGCGTAACGCTGCTAAGCAAGTCAACCATTGACTAAGTCAACGTCGAGGGCCCGACACTGTGCGCCGCCCTCTTCTCCCACGATGTCGACAGACAGACTGTCCCAGACCATACACCCAGCATGCCATCCGCCCATGTGATCAGTACCACGTCGTCATCATAGACTGAGTACTTCGTTCCATTCGGCTGGTCCGCAGGAAGTTTTGTTTGTTAGTACATGTACATCATCGTCATCGTTGATATGCCATTGCAATCATTGATGTGACATCGCAGCCGTTGATGTGCCAAACTTAGTGGCCATAGCTTGTTTAGTGCTGCTTGTTTCTAATGCAGCGGAACGTCCGCTTGCTAGTACTGACTGACTTATTGGAGGTCAAAGAGACTTGCACCGCCTCTCCACTCTACCACTCCAAAAGTCCCCCTGGCAGATTGGTTGGCGGGAACTTTCGGCCACCTTCCTGCCAATTTATCAAGATCCACGCTCGTTGCCGATCTCCCCGCCGTTCCGTCGGAGATTTGGAAAGTGGAAAAGAGAGCGGGAACGGCGACTGTACACTAAAAGGCGACCGGGCCCACAGAGGAATCTGGCTTGAAATGCAGTCGAATACGTTGACGCTAGTCGCACGTGTGAGCACCTCCTTGTCAACTTGTTATGATTATCAATTTTAAAATATGTTTTGTTTTCAAATGGGACTCCGGGCCCAGTTCCGAGCACATGCTGCTCCCCACTAGGGAGCGCATCTAATTGGTGGATTATCTCCTGTGAGGATCGCGTGTTCAATCA